TCACCTTGGCTGACAGTCAAGCTCAATAAAGCTAAGAAGTCAGTTTCCCTTGCAAGCTACTGAATGCTGAGAAGGTACCGCGAAAGGTGAGCCCCAAATTCCTCCCCAAAATAAACGCAAACAGCTGCCAAACAGCACTGCACCAGACAGGGTATCAGGAAAGCGATTTTACTGCAACAGCTAAGAGTACTTCACCTTACGATATTTGAGCTATGCCGTTGCAGGAGAACAGGAGACAGCTTGGCGAGAAACTTCTGCAATTGCTTCTAGAATTTAAGCGAGAAATTAGAAGATGAAATACAAGTTTTAAAAAGCACCTGCCATTTTTGATGCAAGTATCACTTGGACGCAAAACCCCTTTTCGCTGCCAACTGTGAATCCTTCGCGTGATTCTGGATGCCAAAGCAGCCCTACCTTGCATCCAGATAAACTGAGGATTTGTTGTATTTTCTGTATAGTTTTGTAATGTCATAAGTCAACAGAGCATGCTAACCTTGATAGTTTATTATGCTTTGCAGACATGAAACTCAATAAACTCGCCCGGCCCTTGCATAAAGTATTCATAACCCTTCTTTCTCCTTGAGGAGGAAAAAAAAAAAAAAAAAAGCTTGGTGAAGCGATCATAAAAGTCTGCTCAGCTTTAAGTATAGAACGTACAATGACCTACTTCTGCAGTGCAATAAATAACGTAACTCTTCATTTCTGCGACAGCAGAGCAAAACCATTCATTTCGCCTTAGCATCAGAAACTTGCAGTTTCCACAGCCTCAAAACTAGGAGTTACCGGGCACGCGCAATGCTCAGAGAAGACGCTCGCTGGCTCACCAAGCAAGGCTTTCACCCAGCAGGGTTACAATCCCGCTCCTGAAAAACTTCAGCTTTCTTCCCCTGAACCCAAGCAGTTCAAACAACTAAACAGGTCCCTCCTGCTAGGAGAAGCTTGCCAGCCTCTGAGGACATCTCCTGCTTTTCAATGTCTTTTTTTTTCCTCAACAGCACTGTTCTTTGGGGGATTTTTTTTTTTTTAGCCTTTTATCCAGGGGTCCTGAGCTCAAGACCCACCTCCTCGAGTCTAGGGGCTTGACCAAAGGGGCAGCTGAGCCCCAAGTCTTTGCAGAGCCCGTTTCCCTGCTGAAACGCAGCTCCTAAGGATAATTAGTACAAAAATCAAATAAAAACACCAGCTTTCTGTCTAGAAAAAGAGATGCTAGCAGGGCATTAATAAGCAATGTCTTCTTGTAGCACAGCTGATTGTTTGAAGTGTGCAATCTTAAACTGAACGAGTACCAAAAAAGCAAACAGGTATCAGGCAGCACGTGCGTATTCACGTGGACTGATAATTATCCTAACGCAACCTGATAACGAATCAGAGCTCACTGCAAAAGCAGTTCAGCAATGCATCACATCATTTAACCCATCCCCCACAATTTACTTTCCTCCTCCGCGTGAGGCTGGAAAAGCTTAAGTATAAAAAGGGACAAAACCTTCAGAAAATAAATACGACGGGGAGAGAGAGAAAGGGATAAGGAGGAGAATTATCTTTCCAGGCTTATGAGATAATATTTTTTACTCCATCTGATGAGATTCCCATACTGTTAATAAATTTTCGTTTACTAAATCCTTCCTGAGGCAACGACAAAGAAAAGAATTACTTACTAGACTGAATCAGACACAGAAACAGTGAAGAAACAAAAAGAAAACTATCCAAGCAAGAAAATATATACAGTTTTCTTGGAAAGTGAAATTCAGTTACTAAGAATATAAACACTCCTAGAGAGGAAGGACAGCAACAGCTAAGACACTTGAAAATACTTGGACCAGCTACTTTCCCCTCCTGGAAACATCTAAAGCAGCTTTCTCCACTGCCCTGGTGGGCCCTGGCTCAGCCTCAACGGGTACGAGCAAATCACTGCTGCTCACTTACCGCAGGGTACAGCGCTCCAAGCGGCTAACGTGCTATGAACACATCCCCCAAGGTTGTCCAGCTTCTTCATCCGTACTTGGAGCTTCCGCCTTCTTTCCCATGCTGCAGGAGCACCTCACAGCCATTCACAGCATCAGCAGTACAGAGCTCTCACTAGATAGCGCTCCACATCACTTGGAGCAGATCTGCTAAAATTATTAGTGCTGCCACGCGTCAGATCCAGCCTCCAAAGGCACTATGTAAACCTTGATATCGTTTTTGGGGAAAATCAGTCGCTTCCCTGGCAACAACCCATTAAGATTGCTTTTCTATCCCTGGCAGCCAGAGCCCACAGATAAAGCACACCCCACAGGGATTCCTCACTGCTGATGGATCAAACCGCTTTAGAGCTTTTAAAGGAAAGACGATTATTAATTTTTTTTTAACCTCTGTAAGCTCATGGATAGGGGCCAACAAAAGATGATTCATCTTTTAAGACTAAAAGATACATATCATTCTTATCATTACATTCCATGTGCATAAACGCTCTACTTCACACATCAGTTTGGCAGACATCTTGCCTTCGAAGGCAGGACTTCTTTTCCGGCTCCTGCTTCTGAATAACTCAAGCTTTAAACACTCCTCGTTCTAGATTCATTTATATTCCTTCTAGCGTTCTTTGTAAAACATAAACAAATAAAATGATGAGGTTGGACTAAAAAAAAGCCTTTTAGCCTGTGTAACGGCTACTATTTAAAACAAATACATCAATTAGCGTTCTGTCCTATTTGACTCAAACATTATAGTAGTAAATTATGATCTTCCTAAAAAGACAAAAAACATCCAAGCAGGGCAAGTAACTGGACATAAATTGTTCTGAGGAACCTATCAGTCGTCATCGGAGCTGAGCGTCGCAGGTACCGCGGGTAGCTCGGGCCTCTCTGCACATCATCATGCTGCGGCTGTCGGAGAACATGTAACATCTGAGGCTTCACTGGCCAAATCTCTTTATGCATCGTATGCGTCTTCTAAATTTATCCTTGTTTAGAAGTAAATATTTGAGGTACGATGTTCAAATTCTGAGTTTAAATATCCTTGTCTTTATGGAAACAGCTGAGACGCTACACAAACAGATAAACATCAAGTCGCAGCGAGTTTATCAACCACACTGTTTTCTCATCTCATCTATCAGATTATCCAAGGTGCAGTCTGACGTAAAAAAGCCAAAAAGCAAACAAAAAATGCTGGCGGCTTACCAGCGCGTCGCTTGCAAAGTTAAACGGCAGTACCTTGCAGCTCGGCACCTCGGCACCGTTCATGCTGTTGCTAGCCGAGACGCTCTCCTCTCCTCCAGACACCGCTTCGTGCGTGCCAGCGCGCATGACCCGCCCCGAGGGCAGGGAAGGGGACAGAGTTGGGCTCCTTCCAGCTCTGAGCGCTGGATCAAGAATATCGTATGACTGGCATTTTATCTTAAGGTACAGGCAGCTCTGCTGCCTCTCCTAGCTCTGTAACGAGAGCTCTCCGTTAAGCCTGGGCAGATAAAACAGGGCCACAGTTGGCGTGCTTGGCGTAGTTCAGGTAGGCCGGTAACCTTCAGGACGTACTGGCCTTAAAACAACACTAAGCCCAAGCCAAATTAAGGTAAAACTCGACATAAAAGCATTTATCATTTTTCTTAGGAAGAGCTTCTCTGCGAGACCCAAATCACCACCTCCTTTGGAGACGGGCATCAGACCCAATCCTCCACCAGAAACTACCCAAGGGTTCCCGACTGATTTACATCTCCCGCCCTGAAACGTGGCCCAGCTCTCCCTCTCCCAGGAGAGGGACCAATCGCCTGTCTCAACCACAACAGGCCTCATCCCTCCTCGAGGCTGCCCCAGCTACTAAACCCCAGCCGGCATCACAAACTCGGACGGAAGGAACGGCTGAACCACCACGCATTAGAGCCAATTTCAGCCAGTCCTGAAATAGAGGAAACAACTGCAGGAGACTTCAAAACCCACCGAGCGCATCGTCTGAACCAGCTGGCTGGGGCAGACGTGGCGCACGGTTCCCTTGCTCGAGTGCTTTTGCAGGCAAACCTGCTGCTGCCCAGGGGGACGCTCACGGGGGAGCCACAACCATGGTCAAGGCCACACTGGGGCAGAAATAAATAAGGCATCGAGGGGCGAAAACAGCAACGTACAGTGTACGGTAGGACCCTGAGGCCTGAGAAAGCAGGAGCCTTAATGCTTCAGGTGACAAAGACTGCGCGGCACAGAACGGCAGGACAACACGTCATTGCAAGGTGGAGAGTGGCAGGAACCTCCACGGGAGTGATTTAGTCCGTTCCTCCTTCGTATAGTCTTAAATACTCTAACCAAAGCCATATCTCAGTATCAATTAATCAATAATTTCATATAAAACAAATCCCCCGACAGCACACCGTTTCCTCCGCCGCAGAGAGGCAGGTGAGCATCTCTGCTCCTACCAGGCAGCACCTCTGGTAAGGCCGGGCAGTTGATTTCTTCTTGCACCAAGGTGATGAAGCTCTCGCCTCCTCTTGCCATTCGTTGGGCACGTTCCAGTGCAAAACGAGCCTTTCACGACCCCTCACCCCCATGCCAATGGGCGCGTTACCCGGCATGTTCAATACAAGCATCTACATGCAATGAACGTGTTTATCGCCTCTTGACTGAAACCAGACTGAACGATGATTGATTTTTGCGGAGACGAGCAACTAGCTCCTCAACCCCCAGAAGTGTTTCTCCTAAGCCCTGTCACAATCCTGAAGGGAATAACATGGGAAGTGCCTCCTCAAAACTTTTCAAAGGCACTTCAAGAGTAGAACGGGGACAGACCTGGAAAAGCACCTCTCCAAAGTTCCAATTCCTTTGAGCAAAACTCAGCCCTCGATAAACGGGCCGTTTGCCGTTGCATGGAAGCGAGAATTTCACTGTCTAATCCTGCACGTATCTTACCGTGTTTCTGTTCTATTTAGCACCTTACAGAAAGCACGTGCCACCTTGCAAGTTGTAGTTCTCAGTCGCGTCCTCAGAAAAAGAGGACGCTAGCTTAGAAGGAAGCGAGAGAGAAAAATCAGGAGGACTTACAGGATCAGTCAGTTCCGGCAAACTCGCTTGGTAGGTGAGTGGTCTGCAGTCCCGCGTGTTGTTCACCAAGACACAAGGAAGAAACATTGGTCCCAAATCATCCCCGTCGAGCACATCCACCGTGAGGGTGGTCGTACTTGTTCGTCGCTCGTTAAGGTTCTGGGCTCGGTCCTGTGGAGGAAACGGGTCACTTCTGGTATAGCTTTACGCGTTCAAGATCCGCAAAAACAACCTCAGAGCTAAGGGCAAAATGCATAGCTGGCACAATCATGACAATTACAGGAAATAACCAATTACAGAAACTTCAGCTTCGTAGCTACTCTTCTGTGCTACGTACAAAAAACGAACACGGGAAGCTTTTCTAACAGGCAGCGGAGAGGACTCCGTCCAGCTCTTTGCACCACAATTTAAGAAGGATTTAGGCTCAAGTGGAAAAAATCAAGAGGAGCACAGTGAGAGAGACCTACTATCTCCAAACTGTACTCTGTGGTTAGTCCAGAGAGTGAACTGTATTGTTTGTGTGTTGAAAAGGTGAAAAATAATTTGGTCCTCAGGAAAGTAGCTGTGATACTCCAGCCAGGAAAATCTTCATGCTACAAGACAGGTTTTTTTCACCCTATTACAGTTTGGGGTTGTTTTCCGTTTTTGTTTTTTGTTGGTGGTGGTTTGTTTTAATCGTTGGCTATAGGACATACTACTGAATTATTGCCACACTTCTCTGCATCTCCCTTTTTTCTTTCTGGACATCAAAGCCACTTTCCGGAAACGCTGTGAACAAAAAGTATCTCTCAACACTGACCAGTGAACACACTAGCAACAAGTTTATCTTCTCTTTCTTCTGTTGTTATCAGAGCAAAGTAATAGCGACTCTCCAACACTCATTTCAAAACAGTGGAATTATAACTGCTTTTCATTACAAAAATAAAATCTTTTGGAGGGAATACGGGTAATAAGCTGAAGTCTTGTCCTATGACAGGTTAACATTAAAAAAAGTTTTTTCTCTTTTCTATCAAATGAGAAGTCACGCTGTTTAATATCAGCATCTGTGTAATGGGAAAACAGGTTGTTGTTTTTTCTGAATCAGATTGGATTTTTTTTTTTTTTTTAAAGGAACTGTTTTTTCCCCCCCCTTGTTTGCATTGCACTTGGAATGTTTTTACAGTGAGTAAATATGGGAATTTCTGACATTGGCTTTCTTCATGGTCACTGGTAAGAAAACAACGCCAGCTCTAACGAGAAGTGAAGCAGCCTGCGTTGCCAACTAATCTGTTCGTATTTACATTCCCCCACTACGGGCCTTTGAGTAACACTGGGTCAAAGCACAGACCTGGGATAATTAATTTCAGGTATTATCTTCAGGATGCAAGAACAGTAAGTGATCACTGCTAATGCAGTCAGTCAGTGGAGTGAAAGTATGAGTGCCTGTAAATACAGCAAAGGGAAACAATCAAGTGCAGCCTGCAGGACTTCACAGAATGAAATATAAAAGAAAGCATAGGGCAAGCTCTTGAGAAAGGTTACGGAGCTTCATCAGAGCCTTCCTCTGAGATCTGGTTTCTCCTCTGTGAGCACTCAGAAGTTTAGTGAGCTCAATGCTCATTTGGGTATATCTGAATTTTGAGGAAATGCATGGTCTTGCAAGGCATTTCTATTAGGCAAGTTGCCCCATTATAACTATAATACCAGCAACTATCAGCATAGCCCCAGTCCCAAATTCAAGGTCCTAACAATTTACCACGCGAGGACATATACTGAAAGCTGCACTGCTGTGCGCCGCATCTTTCGTGAGCCACCTTCCTCTACAAAACGTGACTTGCTCAGCTACCCCAGCTACTTTTCTTGCAAGGCACAGACTCACGGAAAGCTCTGAGTTCAAAGGAAAAGAGCTAGGAGCATATAGGGGTGATCCACAAAATAAATTATTAAAAAAAAAAAAAAGAAAAGAAAGAAAAAAAAAAAAGGAGGAAAAAACCCCACCCCACCCCTGTTTTGAGCCCTCCCATATTCCTGTTTGGGAGATCAGTAAGTAACGTTTCCCGGGTAAAACACGGCTTGTTTTAACAGCTGTAACTCTGTGGGCCAGGAAGGCTTTCTAGACATGCCTAAGTGCAAAAAGCATTTAGAGGCACCCTCCGCACCTACCGGGGGGAGTGCTGGGCATACCACAAAACGTGGAGGAGAGCGGACTGCACGGCCTTAGTAAAACGGATAACTCTATCAAGAAATGCAACTGCTAGAAGTGGGTGAATTCACGAGAAAAAAAGTCTTCATTTCAGAGCACCCTCGTTTTCCCACAAATAAAGTCCTGTCGTAACAGCCGTAAACACCACAGGAAGAATTCTCACCTGACCTATTATTAGAAACATCAAGAAAGAAAAAAGCTTTCACTGCTTTCAAGGGCACCAAAAACTCTGACGACAGATGTATTAGCTGCAGTTCAAACATCACTTCTATCCTCGGCACGCACTATCCGCTCCCCTACCCACTCTCCAAAAACCTTTAAACGCACATGCAGTAGGACTTGAAAGAAAGAATCACCTCGGTACAGAAAACTGCGTTTCACACCTGAAGGATACAGCCAAACTGTATCCGTTAAACTCACCGGAGATCAAATTAGAATCACTAGACGTGTTAGAACATGAACACTTAGTGACACCAAAACGCGCTTTTCGGCATAGGCTATACTTAACACATACAACTCATTTCTTGTGCTGAAAAGGTTGTCTTCCTGCACATCCCGGGCAAGCTTTTTTAGCCACTAACAACATGTCCAAGCTTTCCAAAAGAATAAGTACCTAGACAGATCTCGTTTCAGATTTTGGCAGCAGCCACTTCAGCAAGGTTTTACTTTTCCCTGGGAAAATCTCGATAACCAAACCTGGAAAAGACCAACGGTGCCAACAGCCATTTTTAGAGCTCTACTTACATTTGCTTGAACGACCACAAAGTATCGTGTCTTTTCTTCGTAATTTAGTCTTTCCCGTAAAACCACTGCTCCGGACAAAGTGAGAGGAATGTCAAAGGTCCTGTTGGAAGTCTGCAAAAGTTAAGACAGTAAAAAAGAGACTCAACAGACTTGAAACCACGAACTGCCACGGGCTCACGAGCCGACATCTAACGATCCCCATCTTCCCCGTACTGCTAGCCTGAATCAGCAGCAGCACATGCAGAAAAGCTTCTCCTATCTGCCAACAGGCAAAGTTTTCTCTCAAGAGAAAACACTGTCAAGGTGCAAAGTACTAGTCTTCCCTTAAAAACATAACAAAGACATTTTTTTCCTCTAATGATTTAAAGTTGAAACATCAGCTTAAATTGCAATTTGTTTTTCAGGATATGAGTGAGAATAAACATACATATAGTTAAAAATATATATATATATGAAAATCTATGCAAATAACTTTTCCTAAGGCAAAACAGGAAATTAAGATAGAGCTTGCTGTGGAAGGAAGACAGGAAAAGCCCAGTAAGGTTAACTTAAAATATCCTCAGGGATATTTTAACACTGTCCTGAAAAAGTTAAGTCTTAGCTTTTGTAACCTTGGTTTGTCTTCCCAGATAGAGAGCAACTACAGGCATTGAACGAGAAGAGTTCATGAAGAGCGCGTGCCCCGAGAACGAGCGGTTCTCATCTGGTCTCCTGATGACTTGCAGCTTTTGCCCCAAGTCCCTCTTTTTTCTTCTTCTTCTTTTTTTTTTTTTTTAAAAAAAATATGCTTGCTCAGGTAAGTAGGGAGGTGGTGAACTACGCCCGCGTCCCTCTGCTCAGTCGGCAAAACTACTGCTTCTGCTACAGCTCAAACCGTAACGAAGCTTCAAGGCAATTAACAGGTGCGCGCAACACTGCCACATCCCAGCTGCGTTTCCATCCCATACAGAAATGGGCCGGGGCAAAGCGCATGCTGAAAAATCAGTACCGAGAGCTCCTTCTGGCTTTCTGGCCGAAAGGCAACGCTATGGCGCCTGCTTACGACAGGAGAACAACACTGGGTCTCCGTGAAAAGCTTCACGATACAGACAACAAAACACTTTTGCTCGTAATTCATAATACAGCACATCCACTGGCCCCTAAATTCCTGGGAAAAACACTGAAAAGAGAGCAACAAGACCACCTAATTTAAGATGGTGGAATCCAATGTTTTCTGAAGGCTAAAAGCTGCAAGATGGCCAAGACCGCTGCCTGGGCCCAGATCTACCGAACTAGATTTAAAACTAGCCTTTGGGGAAAGAAGAAAAGTCATGTACAGGTCCTTCAGCCCCATTCCCTAAAGAGCAGAAAGGTAAGTGCTCTACACGCTCTTTATTACAGGTTGGATGCTAAGGAGCACAAAACTAGTTCAGGAATCATGGCTTTCAAATTCAAAGATTTTAGTGATTTACAAGGCTTTTTGGGCTACAACACACAGATTATAAACAACATAATTAAAAAGAATAATCCCTTCTGTATCAAAACGGGGCTTAGGGTGAACAACTGGGGCTGGCAGGGACCTCTGGAGATCATCCGGCCTCTGCTCAGAGCTGGGTGAACTTCAGCTTGTCCAGCGTCTTTGCCAGCTGAGGTCTGAACACCTCTGAGGATGGAAGTTTCACCACCTCTGGGCCTCTGCTCCAGTGTTTGGCCACCCTCACAGGGGGTGAGCACTCAGAGCACTCACACCCTCCCCCCCCCCCCCCCCCCCCCCAAAAAAAAAAAAAAAAAACTTTTCTTCAGAATTTCCCATGTTGCACAAGGTGCCACCACGCAACCATTACCATTCCTCCTTCTCCTGCACACCTCCGAGAAGAGTCTGGCTCCCCCTTCTCCGTAATAAGCGTCAGACAAGCTGAAGCCAGTAGGAAGATTTCTCCCATGTTTCTGCCCTGGCCGTATCACCAGAAGCTTTTCCGTCCTGCGGAACTGTGCAGTACACCCTCGCTACAACCACCTCTGATGTTCAATCAGACACCACTCCTTGGGTGAATCTCCTCAGCGGATAACTACACAGATGTTTTTACTGCTGCTTTCACTTAGTTTTGATGTTAAATTTACAAGGGCGAAAAGCACTTTTCTTGTTCGTGCTTATTTTATATTTATATATAATCTAGGACCACCCCTACACCCAAGCCCAACCCACAGCCTTTTCTGTTCCGCAGGTTAAAAAGCGGGGGCACTGCTGACCTATGCTCCCCCATTTCAGTCTGGTGTACAAGTCGTCCGGACAAGAGAATAAAAATCTCTCTTGCATTTTCGATCTTCACTTGTGCCGGTGTACAGACGAGGGGGCGACTTAGCTTCCATAACAGGTTAATTTTAACTGGCATCTTTGTCGTAAGAGAAAAGGCCCCTGAGGCGGGGAGCCGACTGCTCTACGCCCTATCACTTCTCTTTTGCGTCCTCCGGAGGTTTACTAACAGAGCCGTGGTGTTTCCAATGGCCCAAGAGTGAACGAATCCAAGGCGACGGCACGCCCTCGCATCCACGCACACTTCTGGCACATCACATGAGCTCTCCATGGACACTTTGCAACATCAATCCTGCGAGCCTGACACCGCACAGACAACAGTTTTTGCAAATTTTCTTGTGGCCATGGCAAGGTACCATTGTGTATACTCTATGAAAAGGCAAAGGGACTGTCACCAAGAAACAGTTCATTAACTGCCCTGATAGAAAGATGGTATGTGAAAAAAACAGCCTAGCAAAAGTGCTAGGCATATTCTCTAACTCCTGGTAAATTTGAGATGTTTTATTTTGTACCCTCACAAAATATAGTCACATAATACAGGGAATCTCACTAAAATTAGCTGGTAAGGAGGGAGGCCAGATCTCAGGCTGAGGACACGTTCATCTCAATAACCTTCAGCTATAAATACAGTCCGGGGACATCAAAAATTCACTCTGTATAAAGTGATGAACCCACAGATCCTGTGCTAGTAATTTCACTCATTTGAGGAGCCCCACTGAAGGCAATGGCAGAACTCCAAAAACTGCTGAAGTCTGCACATTAACTGCCTTACTAAGAAATTACTTTCTATTTTGGGTATATTTGGCATTACCTCATTTTAAAATTATTAACCGAGCAGAAAATTCCCGTCTCTGTATCTCAGTTCCACCTTTGGCAAAAAGGTGCTGCCTGTTTGCAAAGCAACGCTTCTCAGCAAAGATTACAGCTTGGCGCTCTGCAAAATTTCTCAAGCACACTTCTTTGGCCTCAAGATACGCAGAAATAGGTATTCGGGTAAATACTATTCCTCTGTGCGCAATCGTACAAGATTAAAAATTACCCTACTGAAGAGTAAAAGAGTTAAGTTCTTAAATCATTAATGCACATCAACGTATTCCATCAACGTATTCCCTGGTACTTTCAATGTTATATCAGATTTTACCTGCCAAGTCTAATTCGGAAGCTGTTTAAACTCTTGTTGACCTCAGCAGACATAGCACTAACTGTTCATGTCGTGTACAGCTTAAGCAATGTAAATTAAATCAAAAGTGGCACATCTCTATTTTCTACTTCAACTGAAAATCGCATTTCCTTTTTCCACAAAACCGTTTCTTCTCAAGTTCATCTTACACAAGAGTAAGGAATTTTAATGAAAGGTTACTAACTCTATATGCTACATTTTTTTCCCCCCCCCTCGTTTGAGCTCACACATCTTAGGATGAATACATAACCGGGTTAGTCTGTTTTCACAAACGTTCATACCAGCTGACCCAGAGTGTGTCTGGGTGCTTCTAGCCCACGGCAAGACACCTTAAGTCAACTAAACAGGGTTGCTAAAATTGCCTTGATTTTGCTAAGAAAATGCATAGAGACACTTAACACAACCTCTACGCGCAATAATTTGCTGTAATAGCGGAAATCATGCATCTGAACCTACAGGGCATTTAGTCTGCTACTTTAACCTGTTTGTCGCTGAAGGTATGTGTTTGCTTGCAGAGACAACACCTACGCATCACTACTGCTCCATTAAAATACTATATAACCCTCTATAAAAAACCGTTTTCCCGATAGGAGTGGTTCCATTAAAAAAAGAAAAGTCACGTCCTTTTCGACAATACCTCTGCTGTGACTATGAATATTTCTTACCTATGAATATAGTAAGTGTAAATGCCTAAAAGTAAATGCAACAACTTCTCACGGATGGAAAATCTGTGCCAAAAGTGACGATGTGTGCGAGTAACGCTGGAGAAAGCAGTGGGTTATTAATGACTGAATATCCTAAATCAGGCAGGAAGTTCTCAAGTTCAGAAATCCTTTATTGTGCCCAACACTAACAACCCCCTGGCTCATCTGCTGCTCGCAGGCCACTACGCGGACGCTGCGCGAGCCTGCACTTGCCTTGTCGTTGGGGTTGTACTGGATGACATATTCGATCTGCCCATTCGGCCCGTCATCGATGTCCGTAGCACCGCTGTTTCCAGAAAATCCCGTGAAGATGGTTGTTCCCACTGGAGTTAACTGCAAGCACAAGGGAAGATGAGAGACCTTTTAAAACCCTGAAAGGTATGCAAGAAGCAAGAAAAGCAGCATTTGCAAAGCTAGTCTCTAAAGCAAGGCTGACCATCTCTCCTCCCCTTTATGTGGCCTGGGAGCTCATGAACAGACAGATGTTTAGACACAAAATGTACACAACCTGCTTCAACTGACATTATGGGTCATACATAAAACAAAACAGAAACGTCCATTTTTATTTCACAGCTCCTCTGTATCGGGACAGCATCCCGTGTGTTTGTTTAAAAAAAAAAAAAAAAAGATGCCGCTGAAAAAAGTCTAAGTAGTGAAGGTATTCAAGTAATAAACAATACAAATGGTAAAAATTAATAAAAGCTACTTTTTCAGACTAAGCTAAGAAGAAGAAACACCATCTGCAAAAGTAAATAGGATTTATTCAGCAATGGCTTCCTGGGACGTGAACGTGGCCAGATAAACATTATTACACTCAAACATAGGCACAAAGAGAGCTTTATGACTTTGAATAGAGAGAAGACAGATGTCGCTTTTCCCAATATTTTGTTGCCAGCCATCGACTACCTGTGAAATTACACTTTGAAAATGTGTTAATTCACAGTTTAGGTAAACAGCATGAAGTCAAGGGTCACTGACACCAAGCACAAAAGTCCAACAGACTTTCTGGGAGTCATAATTTCTGAATTTTAATATTTAAACCCGAAAAACAAATGAACACACTGTTCTGCACTCAGCATGGACATTGCTACTGCTCACAGGCACGCCTCCTGCTGCCCCTTCGGCTATACGCCAGAACTTCTGGCTCTTAAATTCACATCAAGACCCACCCTTAACCCTTTTTCCTTTCCTCCCAATTTCACAATAACGTATTGCACATTAAACGTATAGGGTCCAACAAGATTGGAACTTTTGCAAAAAAGAGGAAAAGGCCAAGGAAAAAGGGCCATTCAAACACGGGTTGCAAACGCAGACCATCCTATTTCACATTTTGTGGTTCAACACCACGCAGCAAGTAACTACAAACTGCTGCTTTTCGTCATCTGCTTCTATGTTCATAGCTCCCGGCCTTGTTCATAAAGACGCTAATTACTGAAGGAGTTTAACGGCTCACAGAGTTACCTAAGAAATATTCTACGAGCTGTGAATACTGACGCTTTGGAATAAAACCCACCGACTCTGAGAAAGCGTTTCAGATAAACCACGCGCAGGCCTTAATTTCTACTATTTGTGTTACCTATACATATGCCACGATGCAAAAACCGCGTATGCGTCTTTTAGCTACAAACTTGACTCGCTTCCTACTGGCACAGCTCGTAAAAATGTTACACGTGGATCTGGGAAGCTGATTTTTCCCTGGTGCCTCCTCAATGCGGTTTGTCAGTCAGTCTCCACGGCGAGAACTACAGCTGGGGCAGCGTGAGAGGGGCTCCGCTCCGTATCTCTGTTGCAGAAGTAGCCTTTAAAGAATCTAAGGAAGCAATTATCTGAGAAACCTGAACGTTGGCTAACGGTACAAAATCAGAGCTAAGCGTCATAAAGCAAGCAGGATAGCTTATCGCGTAACTATTAAACCTTTCTTAAATGGTCAGAAGAACAAAGCAACTTGACAAGCAATTGGGATGTTTTACAGTAGTATTCCCCCCCGCACCATAAATAAAAGACTGTAGGGTTAATCCTTTTGTTAAAGGCTGCAGCTTCATAGAAGAAACAGAAGGATGATGGACAAAATGGAAAGAGACAGTTTTGGAGAAAAAAAAAAAAAATCAGAGACTAGGTTTATAACAGGCTGTGGAAAGCGGGGTGTTAAGAACACTATAAAACCCTGAGTTCATTAACTGTCTTGCTGGATGAGGCTAGCTACAAGGAAACACATATTTCTTACTACTTACTCTACAGGAGTGTACTTTGCTGGACCCCTGGAGCTGACTGCAAGACCAGTGTGCTCTTTGAAAGAAGAGGTAGTTATTAGATGAAAACAAAAAACAGATCTCCTCCCCCCCCCCCAAAAAAAAAATCTTCCTAATGTTTGTCTACACAACCATGTTACATCCGGGCCGTTGGACTGTTCTCCTGACAACTAATACAGTTTGTCCAGCTCCCGTTCTAGGAGGATACTACAGCTTGGAGGGGCAAGGTATTTCAGGGGGAGCTCCCGCTCAGCATCCCAAGGTGCCTAGGCCACCCCAACAGGGTGTCCTAACAGCTGCCAAGAAGCTGAGGGCTGGGCTTGTGAAAGTCTTCAGGAGCTGAAGAACACAGAGCGCTGCCTGGGTTGAATTTCCAAAGAGCATAAATGCTTCGTTTCCACCGAGTACAGCCAGTAGCTCCACACAGCAATAGTCACTACTTATTTGCTCCATTTCATCCACAGTAGCAGTATCAGGTTCCTGCTTAATGATGGCTAGCATAAAAAGGCTCCAGCACTGTATGTAGACCATATTGTTAAGCAATAACAAAGGAGATAGTCATAAAAAGGAATTAGTGGTAAACACCACAATTGCAATTGCCCGTTCTTACTGTAAAAGTCAAACCTACACTGTCCGACTGAACGTACTGCATCCAAAATAACTGACCACAGACGCACACACCTTCACGAATCTAACATATAGGCTTCTAGGTGTATCTGCATTTTCTTCTATGCAATATAAACGACATCAGACGTGAGACTGAATCAATTCCCAACCGCTAACCAGTCCTGAAAGTTAGGAAAAAAATCAGCACTCAACTTTACAGGCTGCCCGAGATCTCACATTAGTGATTAGTGCACCTTCTGGAAAAATCCCAATTAGATCTTAACTAAACACCTCAGACCCCATTCATAATCGTTACAACATACAAAGCTGCGCGCTGTTCTTACACCAAGACCTCACATTGGGATGATTTACCGTTAGCCAGCAACACCACTCCTACCTACGTTTGTGAGGGTTTTCCGGCAGACCGCTGCCAGCCTTTGCTGTATTTTCGGAAGAATAAGGAGGAACAGCCATAAAAAAATTTCAAGTAAACTACAAGGACTAGGGGCAGCTTCCACTGCTGTTAACGAAAGTAAGATCTGAGTACGAGCGAGGAAGCTTTGTCAGGGAGCCCTGCTGGGAGGACTGGAAGTACGAAGACATTCTTACACAGTCAAGGGAACCCTCTTTTTCTTGTTTAACCTAAAGCCCATATCACAAGTGCCCAGATGACGCAGTAGCTAGCCTCACTACCTACACGTAATCTGCAAGTCATACATCTGAGAAATCTGCTTACTTGAACCTCTCATCATCTCAGCATCTAGTTGTCAGCTTGACAAACAGGACCACAAAACAAACATATTAAAACTTAATGCCCAAATTGCGCTGCATCAAAAAGCAGAAAACAAGTTGGCAGTGTCGTTTTATTAGGAAAACGCTTCACGCCACGTACCGTGACGTTCAAAATCCAAAACCAAACGCAAACAAATTCTGTAAGGTGGCTTTCCCGCAAAGAGCAGTGGACCAGCAATCTGATGGAGCTTTGTGAAAGTATGCTCCGCACTGAATACACACTGCACTGGGAAAGCTAGGGGGGAAATCTTCCCCGAACTAAGCAGAGCATTACTGTTTAACCAACAAATGTATTTTAGACATGAAACACCAATGGTACAGTAATTGTTTCACGTTTTACTGTGTATTTTAATGAAAAATTAATATGTAGCTCATATACAGGATGTTCTTAGCTTTCCATCAGATAAATTCCCCTCCTGCCACCAGTTTTCTTCAGCTAGCTACAGTGCAACATAGCTTATGAACTACTGATCGTCTTCTGAACAGGGAGACTAAGCAAACTACAAACTTCCTCCACTTTTCCACTGTGGGCTCTGGAGAAGAACACTGACAACTCAATTCAACCTAAAAAAAGGCCACTAATGCTTACATACCAATCAGTCCTCAAACCAATGATCACATTCGTTCTTCACAAAGTCTTCATAAAGGCTTACGTAGGGCTCAGACCAGTCCAAGTCACTGCTACGTCACCTTGTAGCAGAGATCCTTTACCGCCCCTCCCGTTACTCCGCTTTAGCTTCCACCTCAGTTCTTTCTCCACACTTTGTCCTTCATACAGACTTTTCCTTTCTACCAACTCCTTAGACGCTGCTTGTACCGCTACCTTGAACATCACAAACGATGGAAGTCTCTGACTCCTTTGGAGCAGGAGCTCGGTTCCCCCATTTTGGTAAGCACCTTTACTACGGCACTACAAAAATCAGCTTCCCCCTCTCACACAATCTCACCTCTTCGGGCTGCTCCGTTTGATTTAATTAAGTATTGACTGGGCAAGGGACACATAGTCGCACTACAGGATGGAAACCCAGGCACAGGAACGCTCACTCCGACCTCTCTCTTCCATTTTAACAACAAATTCATTCCCTCCCAGATCTGGAAAACCTTCCTAATGATACCACTCAGTGTGCCTGAACAAACACAGCCTACATTAGCTTCAGTGAAACCACCTACCTCCAGTGAAGACTACTTCAGGCAAATTGCCAAACTGAGATGAGCTTAATATAAAATCCTGGCAGATATAAGATCTCACATAGCTAGTCAAGGTTCCTACTTGAACCAGGGCTCATTTGGTGTACAGAATCACAGAATGGCCGAGGTTGGAAGGGACCTCTGGAGGTCATCCAGTCCAACCCCGCTGCTCAAGCAGGGCCAGCTAGAGCACGTTGCCCAGGATCACGTCCAGACGGGTTTTGAATCTCTCCAGGGAAGGAGACTCCACTACCTCTCTGGGCAACCTCTGCCAGTGCTCAGTCACCCTCACAGTGAAGAAGTTTTTCCTCAGGTTCAGAGGGAAACTACCTGTTTGTGCCCGTTGCCTCTTGTCCTGTTGCTGGGCACCACAGAGAAGAGACTGGCCTCATCCTCTTGACACTCCCCCTTCAGATACTTGTACACATGGATCAGATCCCCTGTCAGTCTTCTCTTCTCCAGGCTGAACAGGCCCAGCTCTCGCAGCCTTTCTTCAGA